TTATGACTGGCTAACAAAGCCATCGGAAATGTTTTTGAAACAGCAAATGTGGCTAATCCCAGTTGAAAGATAATTAATTCTAATTATTTAAATAAATCAAATGTTAGCCCACTATCGACCAGTTTAAACATCAGTTACCATCAAGGGTCTGGAATTTCTTATCGATTATTCAAAACATCTAGACTACTATTTTTTTCTCTCCATATTTTTAGGTATAGATAAATTAGTATGATTATTCATATCTGGATGTTCGATATTTAGTTATTTTCTAAGATTATTTCTTGATTTAAATAATAGTAAATTAAATATAGACGTATTTTCATATCTTATTGAACATTGAGACTGTTGCAACGAGCGGTGTCGGCAAACTGATACTCGCTAACCCCTCAGTTGACTACTTAAGCGGGTATACAAGAGTGAGAGAGAAAGTATATTTAGCTACCACTCTAACCCTTAGGGAATTGGTTCATTTTTAGGCCAATGAAATCCACTTGTCCTCCGGATAACTTCTGATTGCCATCGATTGATCTCCTCATTAGTCTACTTCTAATTGGTTTACCATATCAGAAACTAGATATTAAGTGGAATGATGAATGTCTAAACTGACAAATTATTGAATATTTATTCCTAAAAATCATTTTAAAAAATGATGCATTATAATTATTACTAATGGCTTTATTCAATATAATATTTCGGTACAATATAGAACTCATTCATAAACGAAGAAATAAAATGGTAATTTAGATGAAATTAAATTATCAATGTCATTTATCACTTTACGAGTACAATTACTACACATCAATACTAATCTCACTCGGATAAACTTTAAGCATCCCGACTATCTGTCTCTTTTCATTTAACTGTTCTCTTTTATTAACTTCTGTCATTTGCTAGTCTGATTCCATCTCAGCTGTCCGTGTATCCTTTTTTTTAGATAAGTAGCGTTGATAAATTTGAGTAGCGTACTCATTAAGATTATTGATTATTCTTGTCTTAAAATGATACTTCGATCTGATTGGCCAATAATTTGGGTAAATAACAGCAACATCTAATTCAACCATTGATTTGTTTACAAAGTTGAACATTCTTTTCAAAAGATATTTTCATTTTTCCTATAAACACTCTATGTAAATACATACGTACATATTGCCCAAAGGGATATTCATATTTAGGAAAGAAATGAATTAACTAACATATTTATACCATCAGTAGAAATTATCTATTGAATTAGTTTATTCAAATGAATCAATATCGGAAGGAGCAAAATGGTCGTTTGCTTTGTTCATTCTATGGCAGAACAGAAATATATATAGTTTGATTGAATGTTTCTTGTTGTGTAGTTCCGTATACGTATTTATGTTTATCTGTGTGTTTAAGCTTTTTACATATTGAACGTTTGTCATCTTTTCTCCGGTACAATAATAAGTAAGTATACCTATACGATTATAAAATAATGGAGGAATAAAAGAAATTGAGCAGTTGATTGTGACTATGTATTCGTGCTATAAGTCTTGTCCATTCTATTTAACTAGTATTAAATACACGCACAAAAAAAAGAAACAGTAAAATGCTTCTATTAACTAATGAAATAACAAAGATTTTTTGTATGAAATAACTGTATCGTTGTAGGCACAGCTATTTAACTATTAGAATAACACATATAATCAAATCATGTTATTTTCAGTCAAGTCTTCATCAGCTATGTATGTAAGAAAAGAATTTGGACTAATCAAGACAGTTTATGAGCCAGTGATAACAATAAAACAAAGGATTACATAAGTAATCTTAGTAAGTAGGAAGTACAAACTAATTTTAAAACGATAAGTGTATTGTTAGTGATAGGGATAATATGTTGACATAGGTGGTAGGTTAGTGCTTTAAAAAAATAAACTTTATAAAATAATATTTGAAAGGAAATAATTTCTATCCAAAGTAGGAACGACAGAGATATCATAAACGTTTTCTGAATACAAGGTCTATGGTCATCAGTTTAAAATCTATATTAGCTTCCACCATAAGTAAGATAAAGTAAACGCCACTCTGAAAATTTGATGATATTTAATAAATCACTTTGAATACTTTGATTCTGTCTTGCTCATAACTACTATCTACTAAATGTGGTAAAACAGATCTGTGTATGACTATTGTCAGACAGTCTGAAAACCATGGGAGGAAGTAAAACTGTCTGATTGTAAGCCCGATATAGCTTTATCCTTAGCAATTACGCATTAATGTGGAAATATCATGTACATTACGATAACTGACGTTACTGATATTTTTGAATACTTAACCGTAAATAATGTACGCAATTTTCAATCAACTTTAGTATAAACGTGATTCTTCTGTAACACTAAGAAATTTTCAATCAAACGCAGACAGATTCTCTCCAGCAAATTGTAAAAAACCCTTCACAAATCCAAGTAACTAATCAGGTTCTTGAGTTAATGTCGAGGTTTGTTATCTCCTCCGTCTATGTAAGCCATGGTGACTAGAGTGGCTTTTTCTCAATCCATTTTTCAATTGTTTTATTTTGCTGATGCATTCGCGGTGGTTTCTGTCTTCAATAATTGTGTTGTGTTGTTCAGTGTCCGACTTCGATACTCAAGCTTCCCATGCACGAGCCCCACCATCTACTCAAGTAAGAAGACGAAGAGTGAGACGGAAGTTTTTATGGGTGAATGAATCCGTATATGTATATATTCATTTATATGTACACTCCTATCTCTTAAAGAAAATAAGCCATCGTCCCTTAGAAATGGTAGGCACTTCTTGGCCAATCATGCACACCTATTTGGCCGATTGCTGATTAGCCTACAACAACAAAATGTTATGTGTATAACATTTTATATATGAACACTTTGTATAAAAAATAAGCAGAAGTATTTCAATTTTAATAGTTGAGATTATGAGTCATTTAAAGCTAGACCACCATGGAAAACCTGGAAGCGCTGGATGGCCATTTCGTCCCATTGTGGGACTCCTCACCAGTGCTTATTCACGATCCCGCCCCGTGAGATTCGAACCTAGGACCTATCAGTCTCGAAGTATTTTATATAATGACTTGAATTTAAGATATTGTTTAAAAAAACAATATATTTCACATATCTACTTAATGAACACTACACATCACAGTTTTTCTATGTAACAACCTCAAAGAGTTTCCCGTACTATGTATTTGTTTGTCCGCAGTCAGACATATGTTGTTATTAGTTCGTTGATGCTATTTTCTTGGAGGGTTTATAAAAATATTGTAAACATATGTACATTATATTTGGACAATAAAAGCTAGCTCATTTTATCTTATTTTTTCTTGGATTCAATTCAGTTTTCTAGTCAACATTTGATCTTTTTTTCTTTCGGAGCCAAGCAATTAGATATGAAATTCCCTACGCCTATTGTTCAAGGTAGTTGAAATTTGATGTAATAAGCGAAGTTTTTACTGTGACTTACTCTTCTATTGTTTACAAAACAGAATAGCTTGTAATACTGCAGCTATGATACAGAAACTAATGACGTATATCGTTCCATTTCTGTAATATTCTGATGAGGACACATTAAATAAACACTGCAATAATGTCATAGATTTTAGTTACCGGTGAAAATTGTTCATTACTTTTGATTAACTGACATTTATTAGAAATATTGGATGAAATGTAGATGACGTTGAAATAAAGTTTAATCATTAAATGATAAGTTTAAAGAGATTTATCCTTGGACTATTGTTGTGTTCCACTTTTGGACTCCTTTCCTATGAGAACCCTTAGTTCTAGGTAGGAAAGAACGAATACCATTCGATTCATAAGATTATCACTTTCGATTTCGACTAATTATTCACAATGTTTAACGTTGGTTATATGATCACATCGGTGATGTTTGTCTCTCGATACGGAAGACTAAATCAGTCGGAAATTCTTATTTTTAGCTCCAGAATTTCATCTCTACTCTAGTCACTAGTTAACATATGATCATTCTACCAAAAGTTGATGATCTACTCATTTCACCACTTTTAAAAATAAATCAGTAGTTTTTACTAATGATAATAAATGGTAGTTTCGCCATCATTTTTTACCTAGTTTCAGAAAAAGCGTACCATGTTCGTCAATAAGTTTAAATTCAGGTACGTCTAGCTGACGAGTCTCAAATAGGACGAAACGTGCGTCCTAGATTTCACTGCTAGTCATCATCCACCTTTGCTAATTAATTTATAGGTTTTTGATTTAAATCCGTTGAGTTTGTGTTTTTCTTTACTGGTTAACAATTTCAAAAACAACGGCGAACCAATGCTACTATCCAGTGTTTCCCAATTTTTAATGGATACTTTAGATGACTTTATGTCTATGATGAAAATTAACTTGTTAGTAATAGAGAGTCTGTGAATATTACTTATATTTACAGTTCATATCATGGACTTATAAATGTCAGGCAACCATTGAAGACCAAGAAGCATTGAACAACTATTTCATCTTAGTATGAGTTTCTTCAGTAGTGTTTATCCATGACCCTATCAGGGATTGAACCAAGAACATGGTCTTCAGACAGGTCTTAACCTTTAGACCATTGAATCGGAATCTGATAGTTAGCATGTCTAACTTCAATCAGTTCGTGATATTGCATAACCATTTTTCAGTATCATTGGGTGGAGTAAATGCTTTGCGTACAATACGGTTAAAGTCCATTTGTCATGGCCTCTTATTAGAACACTAAGAATTACCTCTTGAAAGATGGCATTAGTGAGTATATTATGTCCACTAGTTTCTAGTTTTCATTAGTTATTTGTGATAGAAAACTTCAAATTTCCTATACTATAAAGTTAAATTAATCAATCAATCATCTTTACATTTTTTCAAAATAAAAGCTTTTTTTCTTCTTTAAAGTTTACTATCCCCTTGGCGAGTATTTTCTATGTATAGTAAAACAACGAATGAAATGGATTAATGTATATATATATTATTTGTTTGTTACTGTTTTATTCTTTATTTTTTTCTCAATTTTGTCGATAGAGAATTAAGTGTACTTGTTGAACCAAGAGAAACAGGTCAAGTTGAAATGCTTGTTTCTTATGTGGTAAATCGTTGTGGATGGAAACCAGCTTATGATATTCGTATTTTTAACAATGATGGAACAATGAAAGTAAGTTCTTTTTTATATTATTAAAAATGAATAAGAATTTAATAACTTTTTATAACCCTTGTATCTGACTCCAGTTAAATCTTATGCCAACTGTTATCAAAATATACATGTTGTCAATCCTCATATATTTATATAGACTTAATTCGCGTTAGAAAATAACGGAATAAAATAAGCCAAATATGAGAATGAATTAAGAATACGTATGTTTCATACATCCATTGATCCAGACAGACAATCAGAGAAACGAAGCGAAACGAAATGAAGTGACACATGCAGCGGAGAAGGCGAGTGAGCCAATTCGATTTGACCAAAAATAAGTTACAGACACGTGATGAATAGGGTGAGCAGCTAACGACACATACAATCATATAAAAACAGTCAGGGTTAATAAGCAAATAATCAAGGTAAAAATATGGTTGGAGAAGAATGAATAAATTAATCTGGCCAGAAGCTAGATTAACCTTGTGTGGTTGACATAGTATCAGTCGTTACAAACTATTGTTAAAAGGAGTATGTCACTTAATTAAATCTTAATTCACTAAAATTTCAAAGTTAATTTCCTTTGTTTAATTTACTTAATTGACAATAATTCATTTCATTTCCAATTATAATTTCATAATAGAAATAATGTTGACTGTGACCATCATCCAAATGATAATAATCGTTTAAAGGATATCGTTCCTCTTTTATATTGTATAATCATTGCACTCATTTTTTTAGAAGTACACTAAAAATCAATAAACTCCAGTGAAGAATACAAAAAGTAAACATATTTTGTTTGCCTTTTTCTGATAGAAAAAAGTCTAGTTGAAAGTGAACACTAACTTTGATCAAGTTGATGTTGTCACTTTCAATATGTCTGAAATTCACCCGTCCTATACTAGGATAAAATAACTGTTTAATCCTTTCAGATTTTCAATGGTATTCTAACCATGATCAGTCAGTGACGAATTAAGACAATAGGTTGGTCGGTGGATAAGACGAAACTGTTAGCAATATTTCATTTACTGTATGATACTTTTAACAAAATGGTTATATCAACAAAAATCAACATAAGATGCATATATACCGACAGAGATTGATCAGAAGTTTTTCGTAATTATCAACAACCCTAACTAATAATCATATATTGTTCAGAGCATTTCAGTTTTCAACAGTTATCTAGTGATATCAGTTCACAGTGAAAATAATCTTCATATAATTCTAACTCTCAGTGTGGTGAACAAGAACACGAGCGATAATAACCGAATGTATTTGAGTACGGAATTATAGAACATCTCACTTAAATCTGAGAACCATATAGTAAATAGTTAATTTGCAAAATATCGATCCATCGTCTCAAACTTGACTGTTCCTTCTGCAAATATCAGTTCATTGTCTCAGATTTCATTGTTTATACATTTTCATACCAACTGCTTCCTGTTCTTGTTCTTTCCTCCTCGATCTTCTACTGAAATACATTCTATACCCGACCATCGTTATATACTACTTATGTGAATATAAGTAGCTCACACCACATTACTAGTATTTGTGTGTATGTGTACCCTTAAAAATCATGATCATTTATATCGTAAATGCTTCATTAATCTGGTTATAGGAGCACTGGATAACTGTTGTGTTTTGGCGTTGAATTTCTAAGCAGTGCGTAGACTAATGAACTCTCACTATACGTTCGTTGTACAATATTGCAAATTTATTGAAATCGAAATTGTACCATTGGATCGATCGAAACTAAGTATAAACCATTAAATGAGTACTCAAGATCCTAAAGGTTAGGGCTTCACCCCCACAGATCTGAAAGTCCAGAGTTCGGTCTTTGGTGGTTTCGTCAGTGAGGATTGCTAGAGATCTCTAACTGTTCCATTAATCGACAATTATTTCATCATCAATCTATAGGTAGTTTCAAATATTCAATAGTAAGCAACAAGGAATGTATGATCTGATTTCACCACTTCAATACATATCATACTGTTTACAGTTGAATAAAGGATGATAAAGAGTAAAAAAAATACACTTGACAAGGCCAATTTACTCCTCTTACTGAAAAACCGAAAATGACCACAAACTTTATTTTTCTTAAGTGAAAAGAAAAAATAAGCCCACAGTTAGATTCTGAAGGTTTTTGTAAACTTCCAATTCTTTGTTATTAAAATTATCAAAAGTGTTAACTTCATCATGGCTTTTAAGTTTTTATTAATGATTTTTCACGATAAAGAATTTCGACTTTTGTAACAAATCGTTTGTTTGTTTGCTTATTTACATGTTTGTATGTGTGTGTCTGCATTTCCTGATATAACCATATTGGACCATATTGGGGATTGTTGACTTTTGATTGAGATCATGAGTTGATCAATGCTAGACCACAATTGAAAACCTGGAAGCATTGGACGACCATTTCATCTTAGTATGGGACTTCCCAGAGGTGCGCACGACACCAAAGGCCTTAAGTTGGAGTCCCGTGTGCAAGATCGTGAATGTGCACTGCTTATGAGTTCCATACTAAGACGAAACGGCCGTCCAGTGCTCCCAGATTTTGATTGGTGGTCTAATATTGATCGGTTCATGATCTTAATATTGGACTTATTAAATATATGTTTCGCATTTGAAATTCACGAAATCTGTCTCGAATATAGTCACTAGTCAATATTTCATTATTATTGTTATCATGTCATAGTTTCTTGTATAGAGATAAAATAGTTTTTTTATCTTGCCATATTTCTGTGTTTGTGTGCTGGATTGTAGAAACCAAATAGAACAAAAGAATAGTGATACTATACACTGGAAACAGTTTTTTTTAAACTCAATAAATAATATAGTGAAACAGCTTTAAACTGAAACTAGAATATGCTTGAATGCTTGACAAGATTAGTTTTTTTAAAACTAAAAATAATATCAAGGTATTGTAAATCTTATGAAAACTGTCATTTTTTAAAATCCAAGTTAGATATATTTGTAATCAATCTGAAGGATAATTTCTTGACATGATTAAACCAACAGGGAAGTCACTGAATGAGGCATTAATGTTTTTTTCGTTTAACGTTTGGATCTCTGGTAGACTATCATTTTCATCCAACTTAGGGATAATCTTTAAGATTGACTTTCAGGTTACTATATCCTACTGTAATTTTCCAATCATCAATCATCAAATACAAAGAATTTTATACAGATTTCATTTGCAATTTATTCATCGACAAAAATTGATTTAGTAAGAGAGATGACAATAGTTAGTTTCGGGTAATTGGTTATAATAACGTAAATTCACACCACTGGTGACCATATAGATTGAATATCAACTACCATATAAAGCATAATTGTTCGACTCCATGATCTAGATTGAGCTCAAGACCGAAAAACTTCGTGTATGGCATGTTGACCTGTGAAATTTATAACTTGCTGATTGTTAATATCGTTGGGGAGATCCAGAAAATTCCTCAAAACGAAGACGAAAAGTGCTCTGAAAACGCTGAGAAACGTGTTATCCAATCAGTATTCAATAAATGTTTTGCCAGAAACATGTAGACAGTGAAAAGTCACATGTCGCGTTTCTGATTGGATGATTACTTATACTGCTACTATGTTTAGTAGCGTTCTAGAATTTTCCGGAAGTCAAAGGCCTAGGTTTTCTGTACATAAACGAACCTTGGAGTAAAGCATTTCTTGTATATTTCTCGCCTTTTCTCTTGTGCTCAAGTTGCTGTGTAGATTTAGCCTAGGGTTTAGGAAACTGAATCTAGCCACAATCCAAAGATCCATATAGATTCGAATATCTCAGTGCTAATTAATCGTAGAAAAAAGTACTTTGAATAAAGTGTTTTCTGTTGAGCATTTTCAATATTTTATAATGTTGATGAAACAGCCTTAACAAATGTAATTAATACTGTGGTAATAAACTTTCAGATAATTTCATTTATTAAAAATGATACAGAATACCTGGAATTCAGGTGATTACTTGTGGTATTGCTGAGTTTTCTAATCTAGATAATTCGGTTGTAATGCTTTCATTACCATACAGAAGAACATCATCATTGTTCATTTTTATGTAGAAATGAAGCAAGATCATCAAAACGAAATGATTTCACACTTACGCAATATTAACAGTTGAATCCACCAGTCGATCTAAGCTAGACGACCATTGAAAACCTGGAATCGTTAGATCTCTGTTTCTTCCTAGTACAGGACTCCTCAGTAGTGAAGTAACTAGAAAGTTTACCTCTGCATGAAGTAAATATGAATAATATTGTCTAGAACAATAATGAAAGCTTCTCAGTTAAACCATCTAGTTCTGCTAATTCAGCAGTTTGCGTAATACAAAATGTCATTATGATTTATATTAACAATTATATTTCATATATTAATGATTCAAAAAATGTGTTTATTAGGTGCTACAGATCTACTCTTGTATTTCAAAAACTTTAATTCATCGTTATTAATGTTACAGCCACATTCATCCATATTTTATCATTGTAGATAATATATGAAGTGCAGGGAAATGGATAAACTGTTCATGAAGGTCACATATTATGTTCTGATTGTTAAAAACTAATCCATAATGCATCGTTGAATGATATATGATCATCTATTAACTGTCATTGTTGACTGAATGCTATGTATTTATCGATTTTAGGTTAGTCGTTAACAAAACTTGGATTCTTAGTGCATTGATTAGTATAATCATCATTATAACTTTACTGATTATAGAAAAGACAAGAAAATAGGAACAACTAATCCTTGAAAATATTATGCTGAGTATGCCTATAAATCATTATTGATAGATTAGATATCTTTAGTGGGTTTTCTTTTTTAGCTCAACTCACCTCTTGAATAGTTTTCTGTTATAAACTAACGAATTTTTGTCTTTTCGATTTCTAAAAACTAATTTTATTTCCATACCGTCATTAGTAACGGTTTGAGTTATCCTATTGTTAACATTTAGGATTGAATTTTGATCAGTTTTTGTTTATATATATGCATGTTATGCAAAGTGTTTCAATATAATCACTTTTATCACACGTCTTACAAAACAGATGGATTGTACTTAGTGGTGAAATCCAGAATGTGCGTTACATCCTGTTTGGGACACATCAGGAACTAGATTGTTGAAACCCTTACTAATAATGATGTGAACAACATAATTATTGAATAATTTGAGGCTTTCTAGACTCAGTAGCTTGATGTATTTAAGGCTTTGGCGTTCGAATCAAAAGGCACTAGATTTGAGTTTGACTACATATATCAAAACTGTGTGATGCAGGTACATCCAGCTGACAAATTTCAGAAAGGGCGGAACGGGTGTCACGGATTCGCCTGATAGCCACAGTTCAGTATTCCACTTTTATTTTGATCATTAGTTTCTAGATTTAAAATATTCTGTATATCTGAATTTCAAAATTTACAGGTTTTTATAAAAGCCTCATTTATAATTAAAGTAGAAATCAGTGATATTGTCTACAACGATAACTCGAGTTTCCCAAATAAGTGTGAATACCAGCTTAAACTTCAGGGACATCATTTTCTCAAAAGCGCATTTATTGTCAGAACTATTCCTCTGTTAGATATCTTCACGAAAGCGATTTTGTCTGCTAATCACTTGCACACATTCATTAAAAAGTTATTGAAGACCTAGTTACTGAGAGTTTCAAGGGTTACTACCGCCGTGACTCAAATATCTTCCTTCTCCTCTGCCCATCAGAGAATCGGGAGGTTATTACCTTCAGATTTATGAAATAAACATGTTAGGCTAGAAAGAGCGATATGGCAGCTGTACTGATCGTAAACATTTATGAATCAATCTAGGTAGTAACTATTCACTGTTTATGAATAGCAGCCCATAATTTACTATTCTATCAATGAAGTTATCTAATTTCCCCATAATTTGCTGTAATATATGAATGTCACGTTGAAAATTTGTTGAAATTCCTGTTGTCTTAACTAACTTTATATGTAACAGTATTATTACACATCATCATGTCAGTTACACAATTGACCAGTCTAAATGTATACAAGTGTTTATGTTTATCTATAAACTAAATCAACAAACCAATTATAAATAGAATTATATGTGCAAACATGGATTCCACAGTTCGAATATCCCAATAACTGAATAACAATTTCACGTTTAATATTTATAAATTATTTATAATTATTACAGATAGTTTATTATGGAATGGTTCAACAAGCTACTGGTGAAGATTGGGAAACGCGTTATATGACTTTATCGACTGCACAACCCGGTATAGGTGGTACAGTTCCACATTTAGGCGTACAACGAGTACATTTTCGTAGAGAGTAAGTACAGTTATTTTCTAAATATAAATATTATTTTGGTGTACCTATAGTTTTGTGTTGAATGTCACATCATGATCGGTGTTTCTTATTCATGTTTTCTTTCCGGTGTTGAGAAAAACGCATGATTTGTTAACGTATATATTCTAATAATTATTGGAAATCTTGGAAACTTACATTCAAATTAATCATAACCATATTCCATGCACGCTAACATCCGCTTCATTGCATAACCTTTTTGTTGCATTACTCTTTTAACTACTTGTGAGTAGCCTGGAGTATTTGCATTAATTTGCACCTACTGCTTTTTAAAAGAGAAAACTATAGCGTCAGATTGTGACGTCACTAATACACTTTAAATACGATTTCATAACTATTCCACAAAACACTCAAGGAACTAGTGATCATTCATCCTATACTAATTTGCTTGGTTTTTAAAATTGAAAACCGTAGATTTATTTGGAAAGCTTCACCCATATTAAAACATCTGCGATTCTAGTCATAGTTCTATGTATACTAACTTGTTTAGCTAATATATTAGATACTTTTGAAAACTTTAGGGAGGAATAACTGTTTAGTCAACGAAAGAAATGAAATAAATACTCTAGATATAAATTGGTAATTAACATCATCTAAGTCACTAACTTTATTGAAAAGTTACGACCTGGCGCCGTGAGTAAAAATCAATCTATGATGAATAATAATCCCAAGAAAAATTCAGAAACCAGTTAGTACGAAAACGAAACTTCTTACAAAGGTCACATATCAGTCCTGAATTCGAACTTTTACGGCTTGGGTACCCACTATTAGGAGGTCACGCACAACGTCGAAGAGCCTGTTCAGTGTTCCATAGTTTCCAACGGTACCCTGCTAGAAATCAATCTGTGACGAACGCAACTTACAAGTTAAACCAATTTTCAAAAAAATTCCGGTTCAGATATACTATTAATAAAACTTAACACCTTTCAGTGACAGAAGTTAGTTTCATCTGCCAATAAAACAAAAAATCCAGGTCCATCACTAAATTTTAGCCTATACTGATATTAGCCTACTTCATGAGTCGTTTAAACGCAATTAATTAGTAATAAATGCGGTTTTTTTCACTCTATTGCTTACATTACTTGTATTTTAACTCATTACATGTAAGTTGTCTATTTTCATCTTCTCTTAGTGAGCAGTGTATATTACCATAACTTAACAACAAATTTAGTTTAACAGCTGAGATTTCTGTCAAATGTAAATTTAATTAAAATCAGTAAGGAAGTACATCTAAGTATGTACTATTATTAAGTCTAATCTTTAACACTTCATTGTCTATGCAAGCATGATATAAATTTTAAATCAAATATAGCTCATGTTTTGTTACACAACTCTTTTGATAATTCCATTCATTGTATATACATATATACATATAGTCATTCTCCAGCAATCCCTATATCACGCAGTGCTATATCATCCACAAGTGTAACAACAGGCTACAATTCCAGTGGAATGACATCAACAACAACATTACCAGCATCAACAGGACACCAAATCTCTGGTGCATCTGCTACAGGAAAAAATACTCGATCATGCACTAAACTAGGTGCATTTAAACGATCTAATCGAACACCAGGAACAAATTTAAATGAAAGCGATCGTGGTGGATCTATGGATAATGAGGTAAAATTATTGATTCTTTTTCCTTAGTTTGTTTTCCTATCAATAAAATACAAAGTGATTTTTGTATTATTGAAGGAAGAGAATAAATTAAGGCGACAGATTAATTACATAATTTAGGTTCTGAATTCGTTTTAATGAAATCGTTAATTATCTTAACCATTGCTTATGTGTTTGTGTGTGTGTGTGTGTAAGGAAGAATAGTCTAACAAAATTGACACCTCTCTTTTATCATGCATTTGTTCGTACTTTTTTAACATAAATAATTCAAGTCTTAATTACTGAAGCTTTTTAACTAAAAAGTATACCTTAACAGTGTTATTCCGCTTTACCTGATTTCTATTGACTTTTTCTTGGGAAAAATTAAATTTCATGCTTTATTTTAAATGGTGTTATATGATTTGTTAATTTTGCATTACAAAGTGTGTTTGTATATGCACGTGAACCTCTGTAAGATTGCATATTGCCACTTTCTAATCCTTTACAAATCTAAGTCAGGAAGTAACATTCATTTTTTTCCCAACAGAAAGGGCGATAATTTTGTTTACATCTAAAATATAACATTCTATTTTTAATAACTTACCTTCTTTCCTAAAACCGTTTTGTTCCACATTGTCATCATCATCATCATCATCATCATAATTCTTCTTCTTCTTGTTGTACTTCTACATTTTCGTATTCGGGTGATGTTCATCAATGCTCATCTGTATGTCTTTTTACATCATATTAGCGTATCGCCTGATTCTAGTCGTCAGTTACAAAGTATAGACAAATCTAATTTAAATGAAAAAACATCTCGACTACCATCTGCTGGTACAATTCCTTCTTATTCTAAACGTATTTCTGCCAATGCAGCTGTATTTTATCAAACACCTCCATTGCAACGTTCCGATTTTACGCGTGGATTAAATGATACTATTTCGTATGAAATGACTGATCGTCTTTCTGCATATTATGACAATTCAACTGAATATTGCTCTACACTTGGACGAAGTGATAGCATGGCATCAACTACGTTGCATTCATCGCTTGGTCGTCGAAATAAACTACATCCAAGATCGAAATCACGTGAAACAATACGTACTATAACTCAGGTGTGCAGATCTTGTACACTGTTACATTATATAATGTGATAATTGTGTTTTTTGATGAATGTTTGTTAGTTACTCTTTCAGAGTGAGAAAATTATAAACATGTGTAGTTTATATAGAATTGTATTATATACATTGGTTGATGTTATTTGTCCAATTGTAGCTCATTGTTTGGGTCAGATTGTGTGTTAATAAACTATTTTAAAGTTTCGAACATGAAATTGAAATAATACCAAGCTATAAATGGAAATAATCATAATATTACTGATTTGTCAAGTATAAAACAATTTTGTGTACTTCCATTTGAATTACACTTTTTATGTGTAATAGTTAGCTAATATTACTTAGCTGTTTATATTGAATTAGGTAAAGCTAAGTCCAGACCTGCAACTCCACTGCTTAAAGGTTGAAAATTTCAGTTATTATCCTTTCAGTTCACGCAAATGTTTTCTAAACAAAACAAACCCATAAGATGTAAGATTATGTAAGAGAAATGAAATTTCTTCCATGACTCCTGATGACTTAATCGAAATGATGTAACTTAAAGTAATCACTGAAATTCAATCATTAATTTTTCATTTTCGTTATGGGAGTTTGTGAAGATAGTGGTATTTTCAAAGTTGAATTCACGAGTTGATGTAATCTAGACAACCATTGGAAACCTGGAAGCACTGGAAGGCCGTTTCGTTTTAGTATGAGACTCCTCGACAGTGCGCATCTATGATCGGCTCATGAGTTGAACTGTGAAAATGCTACAATCCCCACGAATCCCCACACTGATAATAGTCATGTACTCATTAGTGATTATCTTCAGGATAGATATCCTGAAGTTCTAGTGCAAATTCGTGACGAATGAAGTTCAATCTGTGTCGGGTGTGAGGCAATGGATGAAGGGTTGCGCAAGACCATGGATTGACCGAAGTTAGACATTACCACCGTTGGATGCCAGCTCAATGGTCTAGAGGTCAGGCGTGAGGCGGAAGGTTGTGGATTGAAGTTTCACGTCCAGGGTCGTGGATGCGCACTGCTGAGGAACCCCAAACTAGGAAGCACTGTCCGTCCAGTGCTTCCAGGTTTTCAATGGTGCTCTAGCTTAGATAGACTCATGAATTCAACTTTTCATTAGTAAAGGAAAGCATGCCAAACTGAAGTTAATTTAATCTTTAGTAATGATTAATAAAATTAATTTATTACACATTAACATTTATTTATAAACTGACTATAATTAATTTAACCTACCACATACTTTATTCATACCGTTAAACAATGTATGATGTATATGTCTGATTAAGTAAGATTTAATATTTTTATATTTAAACATTGATCTACGAAGTGCCTTTTCTCTACCGCTAAATCTATTTAAATCATGAACTATTTGAGAGGCTGACATTTATATTCAATACATAAAGGTTCTTTTCATAATAATATTTCGGTTATAAATGCTAAAATAAGTACAGTTTACTGTTTGGTAACCAATTTCATGCTTTTCATACGTTAGTGCTAATCAAATTTCAGTGTGACCACTAGTCTGGGTGATTCGATATCTTGTGCACTATATTTCAATGATAGGTGATCAAAATTAATTTACAGAAAACACTGGGCCTATATTTCATACTAGTTGTCACTCGTTAGCAACCCTTGTCTAGTCTTAACAGAACCTGAGTAACTGACACAGGATATGAGCAAATACAGTAAAGGGGTGTAAATTTAATTTACTAACAAGGCGTTATCATTTAAATAATGTTATCTCATGAAAATTAGTGCTTCTGTTCAAATGATTGAACACATGGAGATAGTAAGGAGAATTAAGTGAAATAATACCGGAAATAATTAACTAACGAGAAGATCGACAGAATATGAGAAATAATTTTACCAGATGCGGTCATTTCCAAATATAATCGTATCAAAAATGAAAATAATGATGACATAGGGTTTAGGTCAAGATAACAAGCAAAATGAGACATATCTTTTCCGTACGGAGATCCCATCGAGATCTCATAATACGGATGGCGGAATGTTTGTGTTATTTGAAGGATTTCGAAATAAAGAAGTTTCAATAAATATGATACAGAATAAGGGGACAGTTTTCCATCCATCTTCAGGTTGGTCAGGCCTTATCCGATGAAGCCGATTGGGTTTTTTTGGAAATGGCCTCAGTTTTTCAAGGCTCAGAAATCCACTGCGTGGATGTAATTGTGTGGGGAAATTGTCATTCCCAGGTCTTGGCTCGTGGGCGTCTACATGCATACCAATAACACATAAGTTTTCACTCTTGGATCTCATAACATACATATACTTATATTCACCAACCTAGGAGGGTAGGTGGTCATCACTCTCTTTTAACGCATTTGCTACAGCTGACTGTCACTTACTCATTACATGTACATCTCTGGTATAATGACTTTGACACTTGCACTTCATGACATGTACGTAACCGTAAGCACTCTTTCATGAAGGGTTGATGGTCACTTCTCCCTAGTATTCGTAACCATACTTTTTTATTATGGTTTTGACCTCATGTATTAGGCTGCTGGTTTTATCAATAATAAGGCAGACATTTTTTAGTTCACATTCCTCGTGTCAGCCCAGGCATGTACCCTTTGGATATGCCAATATACATAAATCACACAAGCCGGAACTCATGCAATTCATACACATAAGCATTAAACATCGGGCAGCCCGTAGAACTTTTGGTGAGCCCTGAAAAAAAAGGAACCAGTTCAACCGGTTTACAGCAGAACAAAGAATTAGCCTGATCTCCGTCGACCGCCCAAACTAACTACCAAGGTTGCCCCTATTGTTCAGCAGCGCCGCGGGGAGATTTTAGATAGAATTTTGCTGCCGATATATAGGTATTCTAAATTCAACCATTTATCTCGGCATACTCATAAATCCCTGATGTGTAATGAACTGTTTATTTATTGGGTTGTACGGTTATTTCTAAAACTATGTTTAATAAAGATATTTTGAAGAGTTCAAGCGGTTAGCAACGATATTTTTGTTGTTGTCGTTAATAAATTCGATTATTTTGAATTTCTTTAAAAATTATCTAAATTTATTTTGTACAGTATCTTTCTTATGCTGTTTGAATTGTCATTTCTTCTTTGATTTTAAATTGTAACGTCGACTTTTAAATTTGATATCGGTTCATTTCTGTGTTTATTGTATTTTTATTACTAATAGTTATGCTTTGAATTATTAATTACTTATTCAAAGTTATTTCGCGCTCAATTCATTTCATTTGGTAGTCAATGTGTAATCGATTTCTTTATTGAATTTAAAGACAAGAGGGGTTCATTTAAGTGTTTACTCGATTGTCTTTTTTATTGATTATTAATTAGAGATCATTTATTGTATTAGAGATTGATTAATGCACTTACTATTATTATTATCATTATTATTACCAAGTTATTGACTTATAAATCGTTCACGCATTTGACTGAAAGAATAGAATGATTTATTAATAGATTACATCTAGAATAAGATAGTTGCGCAATATCATGGATTATTTGAACTTAGACATTAACATCGTTAAATGTAGGCTCAGTGGTCTAGAGGTTAAGCGTTCGCGCAAGAATAAAGGTCTCACGTGTGGGATCGTGGATGTACATTGATGAGGAATTCCATAGTAGGACAAAATGGCCATCCACTACTTCTAGGATTTCAGTGGTAGGCTAATATTGATCAGTTCATGATCTCAATAAAATAGAATAGAATGAACATATTATTTTTTTTAATTTGATTTTATGAAAGGCTAATTTATTTCAAATGAGTATAGATTTAATATAAACGGTAAAATTTTTATTTAAATCAAAACAAAATATAGAGTGGTCGATGGTAATTGGTAAGAAACTCTAGACATAGATTTTATTACTTCTTAATTTCAACAATTTTATGACTGCTTCAATACTATTGGTTCATAGTCTATTTGATCAACGAATGTAAATTGAATTTAGAAATGAGAACAGTTATTTACTAACACAGTAGTCAAAATGTTAAGTCCTAACCGCGTAACCTGAAGGTTCTGGGTTCAATTCCTAGTTGCTTTTGTGTATGTACATTGCTTGGGTGTTGTTCAGTGCTTCCTAGTTTTCCATAATTGTCTAAATTAGCTCAATCCTTGATGTAAACTATATAATTCGATAGTCTTCACAAACTTCTTTTACAAAAATGTTTCACATGTTATCGCACTCCTAATAATTACCGAGTTACTTCTTTTTGTTTAACCATATAATTTAAATTATATGATATGGACATTCAGTAATTACTATGTTTATGTAGTCTTTAATCAAACTGAAAATTAAGTTAACTGTTTGAAATGGTTTTGAATGGGAAGAAACAATTGAATACAATAGACGAATTATTATAAAGTAGACAGATATATTATGTTAGTTTACTGTAATGTTTATCTCCAAGGAAATGCTATATACACCAGGTCTTAAATATTCTTTTCAACGATTACTTACACTTTATATAGTATCTAAGTGGAAACTCATTGAAAATTCGACTAAAAAACTTTATATGGTCGTGATAATATGAACCTTATTTATGAAATTCCCAATCTTTCTAAACATTTACACGATGTATGAATATTTACCATTTTAGATAACAGTAATAAAATGATTTAGTTAAACATTTGCTTTGAATATAAGTGGAATGAACGAAATTTTACTGAACACTTTTTCCGATAGTATCCGTATTAGAAGGACTATATCTGTATCATTTCTATTGTAAGTTAAAATCAGCTTTTATATTAATCCTCAACGATTAAAACTGCAAATAAAAGTAACGTTGACAAAATCTATAAGAGAAAGGCTAGTAATCATTAAGTTTACGTAGTAGATCAACCGGTTAATACAAGCTGTTTTTTAGTAATCAGTTATTAGGACCGTAGTTTGTAATTAAATGCAATAAATATTATGGTTACTTAATATTTAGAATTTTTGTCTCTTAATAAACAACTTGACTCACAAACTTAGGTTTGCATCATTATATTAAGTTAAAGTAATATACACTATCAATAATTTTTATACTTCTCATTTTGTTTTCAGCGCGATGGTATCACACCATCTGGAACACTGCAACGTGGTGGTAGTATTGAAAGTACTTATGCAACTGGATTACGTTCCTCTAGCACTAGACCTATCAGTAGACGTACATTAGGATCAAGTATGTTGTTCAACTCCGTCACTTCTCAGAGTCCTTTGTTATCAAATCGAATTTCTACTTTAATGAATTCACAACCTGCACTATTGCCTACATCACAACAATCTGCACCGCCTGTTGGAACAGTTGCAACGATACAACTGGAGGTCCCACGACCCCCGGCAATAATTCGGTGTGATAACGAACCTAATCGTGTCACTGTCGGGTTGTTAGATTTACAACCACGTTATGAATACGTAACTGTGCCAAAGCGTTCTTTGTATGCTTATTTGAAAGCGACAGCCGTGAACAATACGGAGTTTTCTATCTTGGCTGGTCCAACTAACATATATGCTGATAATACTTTTATTGGAAAAGTAAGTCATTTATTATTATCTTTGTATCGATATTATCAATTATATTCCTAATATCAAATATTTTATTGTGAAGACCTAATACCATAGGTCATTCTGGGATTGTGGAGAATATCTATATCTCAGGATGAGGATTTTGAATGTGTATTGTTCTCTGAACTGGATGATTTAGTCGTGAATATTACATTGTCTCTCTCGATAACATCATCAGTAAAGTGAGTTTTCAGAATTTCGCCACAACTGAATAGCTGTTTATTCTGTTGACTTAGAGTTTGGTTACTTGTTGTCCATATATGTTTGACCATTGTTTGTGTTTGTTTTGATCATTTTCACCTCCAACCTGGTCTTTGAACTTGAAGACATTGGAATTTACAAGGTCTATCAGCCACAAGGAAAAAATGAACGAATCAAGCGAAAAAAATTTCTTTTCAATTAGTTTTTCACCATGGCTCTACACTAATATATATATATATATATATATATGTATTACTACTGTTCTCAGATAAATTCTATTTACGAGCGGATAGCGTTCTTTTTCACCAAAGATTCAAACAAAAATCATTGGAATATGCTACTGTAAGTTTACAGGAAACTGTAGTAATTAGCGCTCTCACTGAATAGTAGCCACTTTGCTAGTTATCAAACCTGTCTGTAAAGTGCTCATCAATCAAATCACCTTACTCTTGTGCAATTATCAATGCGATATATATTGAAATTCTACATGCCAATCATAGATCACAACCCGCCTAGTTGTGACAGCGGACATCACGATTAAAAGGTTAAACCATAATTGGCAACTTTAGTTTTAACATTATTTACCTACTTAAGCTTGTTAGCCCTGGTGAAGCATGGGCTGGCGACCAGGATTTTCCAACCGGCTCTGTCCTCCATTCTTCATTTCACTTGTTGTCAAGTAATATTCATTCTTCTGATGCCTGCCCCCAATTCCCGCCACAATGTGTTCTTCCGTCTGTCTTATTTCCTTTAGTTTCTTTTAGTCTTCGAGATGCGGTTTTATGATTTCCTTAATTTATGTCCTATCCGCCTCCAAAAACTTTTCTTAATTTCCTCTTCACCTGGAAGCTGGTTGTTCTCTCCCACAGTGTGAACTGCTGCTGATAGCATTCAGCAAGCAAATCTGTAGTAACTTGAGTGGACAGCTGTTTACAAATACCCGTACTTTTGATGATGGTTGTGGTTCTTCAAGTTTCAGCTCTGTACGACAGAACTGTCTAGACACTTGTACTGAAGACTGACTTTGTTGACTGTAAGTTTTTTTAAGTTCCTTATGTTCTTCAATCATAGGAATTCTGCTCCTATTTTGCCAATCCTTCTTAACCATGAATGAATGATTGAATTGGTGTTCATCATGTCGTACTTCACCATCTCGCTTTTGCCCTTGTGAATTTTAAAATCTACTTCTGAAGAGGCTGCTACTACACTGGTTGTCTTCACCTGTATTTGTTGCTGTTCATGGGATAGAAGCCATCTGCAATGTCCAAATCTTCTGGCCTCATCCAAGCCGCCGATTGTATTCATGCTTTCCCCGAGATGTGGAGGTCTTCATAATCTAATCAACCACCAGAAAAAAAGTAAAAGTGCGAGAGTAGACAGCCTTGTTTGACATGGATCCTCATTTAGAATGCACCTGTCAGCTACCCTCCATGCACAACATTGCGATGTAGTCCGTCGCATGAATTCTATATGCTGGTTACGATCTCAGGCACACCATATTGTCGAAGAAGGTTCCATAATGTTCTTCTGTCCACACTGTCAAATGCTTTTTCACGGTCAAGAAGGTTGGTGTATAGTGACGAGTTCCACTCAACTAATTGCTCAATAATGATCCGTAATGTTTCGATTTGGTCTGAACATCTATGCATCTTTGCAGTTACCTCGATGTCTGACTTAAGTGCTTCAGCTGGTGTGTTGTGTGGTCCTGCTGCTTCCCCATTCTTGATTTATCTGATGGATACGCTAATTTCTTCGACTATTGGTGGGATAACTTCTACAGTAAGTTCTGTGGGGTATATCGATGTCCAAAGTGTTCAGTGGAGCTGATATACTCAAGAGTTCTTTGAGGTGCTCTAGCCACCTGTTCCGCTGCTCTTAGATCTCAGTGATTGGCTTGGTTTCTTTGTTCTTGACTGGTCGCTCTCTTTCACCAAATTCCCTAGGTAGTTTTTTCGTTGTAATGTAAAGTTGTTTCATATTTCCTTCTCTTGCAGGTCTTTCCGCTTTGATTGCTAGGTCTTTCACGTACTTCTGCGTGCAAGTTTTAATGCTCTTGAACAGGGTTGAATTGATTGAGTTTATCAGAATCTGAAAGAAAAGTTGTATTAGACATTTGTAATGCTGTTTGTGCAGTTGTCCAGCACTTTTTAAGTTCCAGGTTTAGCTTGGCCACCACTGTGCTGATCTGGAGCTATATCAGTTTCTTGCCTTTTTCCTGCATCCTTCATGAAACCCATGTAACTTAGTGTATGCGTTTATGCGGGAATGTGATGCCATCTGTAACCGTTTTGTCGAAGGCACATAGATTTGCAAACCTCTCACCACTCCGATTCCTTTCTGCGAATACATGTCGTCCCATGATGTCTTCATACCCGATTGTGTCCATTCCGACCTTGGAGTTTAGGTCTTCCATCAGGATGGTCAGGTCATATCCTGGGCACTATTCTACAATCGACTGCAGCCTCTTGTAAAGTTGATCTTAATCATCTTCATTGTTTTCATTGGTGGGTGCATCGCACTGGATAACGTTCATCATAATAGCCTTCCTCTTTGTTTTGTAGGACACTTTGTTGATCCTGGATTCATGAGATTGCTATCCTATAAGTGCTTATCGTGCTTCTTTGGAGGGTGTCAGTGCAACTTCTTGTGTGTACGAAGCATCATCTTCTTCATGACTAGAGTGCGACAGAACTTCTCTCAAAGCTGATCTTTTTTGTCCAGCTTCCGTCCAATGGCCTTCACTTATTTCGAGTACCAACAGTTTGTATTTTTTCATTTCCGCAGCTATTTGAATAGTCCTCCAAGTTTCCAACACTGTCCGGATATTCCACTTACCTATGTGAATAGTTGCTCTGGTTGTTAGAAGGTGCATAGGTGTCGTGATTTCCTGAGAATTTCGGTTTTGATCATGAGGTGTTATAACTCGGCTACATGAAGACTCACCAACCCCATGAACAGAGTTTCAATGGTTGGAATGACTTTTCCAGTTAGCTTTTTTTCTTGACAAGATTGTTTTCTATGGGATGGAGTTGCTAACCCCATGTCCATGAGACCGTCAATAAGCCCAGAAGATCGATATGTAGAGTTATTTTTTACATAATAAAGCTATATTATTTGAAAATGTTACATTTGCACCTCATTAGGATTAAATGGGTTCTGCAAATAAATGTGACCTTCTTTAAAATTTTCTTCTTAGTCTGAAATACGTGCTGTCGCTCCAGGCGAAGAGTTTAATTGTCACTTAGGCGCTGAGAATGGTATAAAAATACTGTATCGCCCATTATTCAAATATCGTGAAGGTACCGGTTCGAGTGGAAAAAATGCTACAATGACATTTAAACAATTAATTGAAGTGCGTAATACATTTGATCGTCGTGTACGTCTAATGGTTGTTGATCAAGTTCCAGTCAGTGCAGAGGATAAAATTAAAGTAAGAATTTCATTGTTAACTTTTTTTAACTTCTAAAATTCTTTCTGCTTTTGATCCCTGTTTTGTTTTTTCCTATTTTTTTCAGAATAATTCACTTTATTTCCTTCCTCCTTATCAAATATCAATCATTTGAGTAATTTTATTAAAACCACTGATAAAAACAATCGTAGTTGGGTCATGTAAGATGTTAGCTTCAACGATCGTGATATGTTTGGTACTTGAACCCTACTTTCCTACCACTTCCTAGCCCCACCCAGAAAATCCCATATACCTGAGCTCCAAACTGAGGATAAGAGAAGTATAAGTAGAGGTTCTGTATATTTACAGTTATGAAAATGAATTCGTCCCAAACTATTACTCATGTTTCTTAAAACATTACTATGATAATTTGTAATCCAAAATGATATCCAATAGTTTTCCCTTTATTAGCTAGGATAGAACATTTCCTAATTGTAATGACTATAAATAACCAGTATTTTAAAAATTATCCTCTTATTTAACTTGTTGTAAGTAAGCTTGTAAGTCTCATTTTAAATGTTCAAGTTGTTATGAAAACGACTATCAACAAAGAGATAATGTAGATATATTTTAAAAAATAAGTTAAAGTGTTGACCGGCTTTCAGGCTTTTTCTCATGTCATATTGTTCACAATAGTTTGGCTATGCACTATAATCTGAACGCCTAAAGTATTTTTTTTTATTTTCATTGGAACCCAAACCCTAAAAATTTAAGTTAAGAACCCAATAGCTCAATTCAATTACCTAGGGTCAATGATTCTATGTCTTGATTCTCATTCTAGTTCTAGGGTTGTAGATATGACAAAATTGGCATTTTCATAGTTCAATTCATGAGTTGATCTAAGCTCGACCACCATTGAAAACCTGGAAGCACTGGACGGCCGTTGTTTTTTCCTAGGGCGGGACTCCTCCAGGATTTCCAGGATTTCAGTGGTGGTCTAGCGTTCATCGGTTCATGGTTCCAATGAAATAATACCACGATTAAATATGTTTCAATGTAGAAAATTATCTTTTCGATGGTATTATTTCACGTGGTAGCTTAATATCAAATAGAGGAATTTCATTTCATTGAAAAAATTAATTGAAGGTAACTGAACTTTTTCTCGTATAGAATATGATAATCTATCAAAAAATACATAGGTATTGCATTATTTTTCATAAAGCAATCAAAAATTAGGAATAGTTTCCAAGTTATGTAATAATCTTAGAAGTAATAAATAATGATAATTTTAAAAAAAGAAATACGAAAAATGATTATCTACTTTAAAAATATAAACGTGAACAATAAGATAATAATTAACACTAAAAAATTGAAAAACTATAAGCGGGTACTAAGATCATCGTAGAATAAGGGATTGAACACTCTTTTGTACACAGGGATGAGATATGGATTAATGGTTTGTCAAAACTACAACAGTGTACAAGTTTTTAAACTGAACTTTCTGTGTTTTTGATTAAGATCATGAACCGATTGATGTTAGACTACCACCTTTGGAAACCTGGAAGCACTGGACGGCCGTTTCGTCCTATTGTGGGACTCTTCAGCAGTGCACATCCACGATCCCGCTCGCGGGATTAGAACCCAGAGCCTTCGGTCTCGTGTGCGAATGCTTAACCAACTGGACCACTGAGCCGGCATCCAATGGTGATAGTGTCTAACATCAGCCAATCTACGAAATTGCGCGACCAACTTCCGTTGTACTGAGGTAGATACCTGTCTCTACCCGACATGGATTAGCTCCACTGGTCACGGCTTCTCACTAGAACTCTGAGAAACGGCCGTCCATTGCTTCCAGGTTTCTAAAGGTGCTGGTCTAACATCAATCGGTTCATGATCTCAATCAAAAACTTAATAATCTCCACAAACCCTATACTATTAATTGAACTTTCTTTGAACAAGTTCTTTTGACTTTGTAGATAATATTGAAGAATGAATCTTGTAGCAGTACATAACCAGGGTTGACTATATGTTTTAGAATTACCCGTCAACGACATGAGTTTTTTTGTAATAAAATATTATTGAATAAATAAATAAATAAGATTGTTTCTACAATATCAATTATTTCCTATTTTAATTGTACACTAATTAGGTTAGCCTTTTAGAGCCAACAATTAAACATCCAGAAAAATATGATAAAAATAGACCAATCAGAATGAATAAATTCAATAATGTTGAATGGGACTTGGATCTAGGTCCAGGTGAGTTAAATTTTTAAATAATGTCATTGTAAACTTGGGAATTTCTAATAACTTGATTGAAATTCAGATTAGAAGATTTCTTCAATTAATCTCTAATTTACAATATATACTTTACTTCATGGAATTCTAATCCCTTAATCAAAGGGTTGGTTCAATTATCGATAAACTATTAAAAATCACATAGTTACATAATACAATATGGCTTTCAGAAATTGTGAGTAGATAAGGTTAACAGCTGATTTCAACGTGGCGAGTTATGAACCAGTTTATAATTGATTGACCATTGAATAGTAAACAATGTATTTTTTGTAGTCCTTTGGCGTTGATTGAATTCTGTTGATCAAGTTCTAATTGAGCCACTATTCTAAGTGACTCGAAATTGTGTACACTATATTTTAATGTTATGCATTCGAATGCAGATGGTTGGAAGCTGGATGAAATTGATTCAAACTTCACAGAGAATATTAATTCCCCCAAAATGTGCTGATACGCCTTCCTGACTAGTGACAATTATCGTGAAATATATTTCCAAAATTTCGTACCAATTTACCTTCAATCATCTAACTTATGAACTAGTGTTTATAAATGATCTTCTTTGCCCAAATGATTTTGTAAAGATATTTTGTATAACTTGAGGGTAATTTTCTTCACGAATTGACGTTAGTTGTGGGAATAATAATAAGCTTCATAAGGTTCCGAAATGGAAGTTGTGGACTAAAACAAATTGAGAGTAAGTCATTGGTAACACTGGAAAAAGAGCATTCCTTATCATAAATTGATTGAATCTGAGACCATGAACGATTGGATTTCAACTCAGAGTTTTTATATTAGACTTTGAGATGGTGGAGAAGATTCGTAGCTCAGGTGGATGATTTTGGTGGTGTTTTGTTCTCTGAGCTGGATGGTTTAGTCGTGGAGCTTTCATCGTTCTTCTGAACGACATCATCAGCACAAACTTCAGATAGAAGTGAAGTGTTCGAATTTCTCCATATGTGTTTCACAGCTTGTTCTGTGCACCTCGATGTTGATTGGTTCTTGTTGACCTTAAATTTATCATTGTTTACTTCTTTGTTTTGGTTGTGTCTCCCATTGGTTTGATTTTTGTTCCTATATTTATGCATGATTTTCCTGATTGGTTGATAAATTGGATTGATTTCAATATGTTTGTTGATTGCTGATTGACCTGAGTGCCAAGCTTCTAAAAATTCTCTGGTGTTTTTGGAGTTTCCTCTGTCTAAGATTTCTACATTTTCCCAATCGAATGAATGTCCGTAGTTATCCACGTGTATTGATATAAGTGAAGAGATATCATGGCGTTTGACTGCTAATTGATGTTCATGTAGGCGTAGGTGGAGGGGGCGTCCGCTTTGTCCGATGTAGTGTTTGTCGCAGTTGGTACAATTTATTTTGTAGATGATGTTTGATTTGTTTTCCTTTGTTATTTCATCTTTTGGTTTGCATAGTATCGATTGTAATGATTTTGTTGGTTTGTGTGCCACACCTATCCCGAAGATTTTCAGCAGTCTCGTTGTGGTTTCTGATATTCCTTGTATATTCCTTGTATATTAGACTTTCTTTAAAGATGTCAGTGATTACTGGTGAGGAGTTTCAAAAATGGATGTAACATCTGTCCACTGTTGTTTAGTTCCAGTAGTTGTACAGCTAAAGTCAAATCGTTGTAAATACCACATTCAAAATAATCTTTTATATTTTCCGTTCAACCAATACAAAGATAATTTACGATTATTAATAATTTAAGCTCATTTAAATTCACTTCTCTCTATGCAATGGTTTTATTAAATCATATTCAAATTTATTAAGCAACATAACCTGAATAATCATATCCACTCTAGATGCGTGCTCAAACGTCTATTATATGTAATAATTATAGAGCTATTTTACTAGTTGTATGGCTGATGTACTCAGTTTTGAAACACATTTCCGTGTAAGCTAATGACATCACATGAACTTGCTAACCTGAATTAGATCGGACGTGATTTGAACTTACAATATACTAATTAAATGCTAAATTTTTTAACCATTAAGTCATCAAAGGTGCTTTTGTTTTACATAATAATCAGTAATTGAGATAAATTGTGATGAAAATGTACTTGAAATATGAATACTATAAATGTTGTGTGAACATTTTGATGGTTAATCTTTTAAACTAACTTACACTGTTGAGTTTTCAACTGTTGTATCTTTCTGTAATACTTTCCTGAATAGAACGTTATACATATTAACTTATCCATCAGAAAACTAATCAACTATGTATTTTGATCATTCATATCAATTATAAATCACCAGTGAAGAAACGTTGTAACTATCCCCAAGTATGCTTCATATATATATATATATATATATATATATATATATATATATATATATATTCAAATGCGGATATCAGAGATGCATACATTACAGTGATATAAGTAATGGGTGTAGATGGTCGCAGTTTCTAGTATTCTTTACATGTGATTATAGAAAATGCAGACAAGTCCATACATCCCGTAAATACATATAGACATAGAAGTTTCCGCTCGCGAGTGTATGACACATGCACATATAGAATACATAAGCCGAGATTCATGTACTCCATAGTATACACATAGGTATAGATACGAACGCTCCAGGCCCCTAAGCCCAGCAGCATTTTCACTGGGTGAATATCGAGTATTCAAATCAGTATGTAAATAATTCGTCATAAACGATGTGCTCACTTAACGCTCTTACCACAATTCTTTTTAGTGTCGACTAGTGTGCACTGATTACGGCACAGATTATGGCCTACTCTTTGGCCCTCCCCTACCAGACCTCGTAGGCCCTTCCAGACTAGTCTTTTCAGACACCAAGAGAAAACGTTTCTCCAATGCCTCAATCGCACTCCCGATTCATGTCGACTTCTCTTCTCATGCAATCAAAATTAACACACAGTGGGTGATTATCCCGATTTCCATCTGACTGCGGATTGGTTGGTCGGTTCTATCTCCACCGCGCCGCTTGCGTTAGTTCATGTTGAAAGAGATCATACACTATCCATTGAGCACTACGTGGAATCGCAAGTCGGACTTTGTTCCCCAATAGTATGGTGCGCTGTAATGAATGTTGGATATTTGAAAACACTGCTCATGAATCAATGAATTTCAATCTATCCCATTCTTTAATTGACATGGTTAACATGGTTTTATGATTTTCAGCCTTTTATATCCTCACTAAATTATAGATTCTGATTAAAACAAGTTTTCCTCATACCAATCAAATCAAAGACCTTCAAGTTAACCATTAATACAAATGACCGTCAGAAATTAATTGACCTACTCAGCTCAATGATAAAAGGTATGTGAATAAAATGCGTAATAAAAGGAATATTGTCAGCGCAATTAAAGATCAGAAATTTTTGTGAAGTGAAACGAAATGAATTGTAAATCATGAATGGGGCAAGACAGGAATAAATAAATAAATAAATAGAGGGTTTGACGCAATTATTTCTTGGGATTTTTACAATATTTTACTGCAACATATACTTTTTTTTCCTTCGCCTAGGTGAAATTCGTGAATTAACACTGAAATATTCAGTGGAGCATCCAATCAATGAAGATTTAGACGTTTCTGTTTCTGAAAACTAAAAAAATAGCTACAAACTGGAGCATATTCAATTGTTACAATATACATTTGGGTTTTCATTGTAGAAGGGGAAAGGGAATCTGGGATTTTATCAGACGTATTCCTTTCTGATTTTTCTCATTTTATTATTATTATTATTATAATCATTGATCATTGGTAATTGAAATATTGATAATAATAATTACTATTATTATTACCATTATTATTACTATTATTAGCATTATTATTGCTTAACAGTTTATTTCAATTTCTTTTCGGTGCTTTTTCGCATTATTTCTATTGAAATAGCTTATGCTTCAATAATTTTGTTGTTGTTGTTGTTGTTATTTGATACTAAGGGACCCAGTTCGATTGACACTATTCATTTCGAATACCCACTCTTACATTATACTAAAAACAAAATAATAATAATAACTCATTTTTAATACCCGAATGATATCAGCACACATATACTAATTATTTTACAAATAAATTGGAATGGAACTAGTCTAAAATTGCACAACAGTGAACACAATAACCATGATAGCAACTAAATGGTAAATTATTGATTTCTAAAAAAAGAAATTATCGTCGGTGTATTCATTTAATAAATTCTTTCTGTGTTTCAATATGGTTATTAATTTTTTTGAATGTTCAGTTTTGTTCTGTTGTTTTACGCATAGTACTAACATATTTAATTTTATTTTATATTCTTATATATAAAAATTAAATTTAAATTTTACCGCTTGTTATTTGTATTGCTTTAAAGGGTGATTATTGTTATTATTATTATTATTATTATTATTATTATTATTATTATTACTGACGTCATTACTATCTACTATTGTCTGCCCTACAATTGTTGTGGCACTGTTTATATACAGTGAATTAATTAATCTACAATCTCTGATGTAATATTATGTCATCACAACTACTTAAAACAATCTTTCTGTGCCCTAGACCTACCTGTTTACACTGTACGCTGGAGGTAAGTTTATCACAAAAAACAGTGACACAGACACTTAAATCCAAGCAATCTAATATCAACAAATAATAGATTACAGCTTTATATGCTGACTATTGATTTCGTGGGACTACTCTATTTGTCATTTATTTCATTCATTGAGTTTGAGTGTATAAGGGTGTGTGTGTGTCAGTAAATAAAGACATTGGAATAAGGATTAGAGCTCTGTCAATGTTCTTAATGTCATGGTTTATGTTAATTATCCATTCGTCATGAAGTTGTCTTTTTTCAAGGTTATGGACGTATTTTACTATTCTGACCATTATGAATATTACTACTGTTATTATTATTATTATTGGTATTAAAATATTTAATATTATTATTATAAGCTGCTTTGAAAACACTTAATAAACTAATCAATTTGCCTGATAACTTTCAATCTGTTGTTGATTTCTTTGAAAGGTTAGATAATCCAATTAGAAGACGAGTTTATCAGAACCATGTAACGAATCAAATAGCGTGATATATTTCGAACAGCAGTTCGATCATGCATAAACTTGTCCATAAAACATCATTGAAAAATATAAACGTCAGACTAAATAAATTGGGAAATAAGTAAAAACAAAGGTAATTGATAAAAGCAATGTAAGCCACATCACTCTGGATAGTAAATTAATATTAGCAGAGCATGTTTGATGTTAGTATAAATGGTTTTTGAACATTCATTGAACTGGGTGGCTGGAGATTTTCATGTTGTTTAGGTTTCAACAAACCTCAGTATTCGTTTTAAACAATTTTAACTGAAAACCCTGAAAGCCGAGTTAAGAACATCCTTATAACCAGTTTCAAATGTGTTTGGAAATGGACGAATGTGGGTATTTTTCATCGGTTTGTAGATCATTTACATTATTCGTATTAAAAACCATTTTGGTACATTTTCAGCCACCTAAAGTTGGAATTAACGATTTATTCTACATATATCTGATTCCTTGCATTTTTATCTTAAAATATTTCTGGTTTTAGAAACTTAATCTATTTTGAAAGATCGTCAAATTTTCACTATATGTAAATATCAAGCACTTGATATTTCTCAGAGCTAAACCAAGGTTGAAGTCAGATAAGAACAGCAATGCCTTCTAGTTATAATTTAAACAAAAAATCTGCTGAGCATGTACGTCAGTCTCGTTAATCAAATAATTTTCAGACTGTCCTTCAGGGTAGCAAAAATCGTTTTCTTATGCCGGAAAAATACGCTGATCACTTATACTCGGAACGAGGCACCACGGCAATTCCCGCGATGCGAAAGTAAGAACACAAGACTGGTATAAGTGAAGATTTATTAGCCCCAAACACTATGACAACGACGAATCAAAATAGTCTAAAATATACTCGTTTATATGTTGATTGTACGCCCATTTTTATTATTAATTAAGATTAAATTACATGCTTAGTTATAACAAATCACTTACTGAGCATAGTTTATGTCAATTGAATACAAGAATATCGTATATTATACAGAAGAAAATATCATACTGGGAAAACAATCAAATACTACACTAAATGATCCTCACGTTGAATTAAAATGGATGTAATGTTGAATAAAACTGATAATGAGTAATTCAATTGAAAATTGACTTTTCTTTCCATCATATCAAGCAATAATTAATCTGCTGGGTATAACTCGGGTCCTAACACGTTTTTTGATGAATATTCATATACTACTTACCATACTTGCAGTAGCTTTTTAAATGAACTTTAGCAATATTTTACGTTATAATTGCTAATTACTTCAAAATACCGTATCTTGACTTTTAACATGAATATTATTAATGTTAGGCTATAAGGTTTACAGAAAGATAATTTACAATGATAAAGATTAATTCAATAACAGCCAAACTGGTAATACTAAGGCTAAATCATTCTACATAGGGCTCAGATGTTTCACATGGATGTCCGTACAATACTAAACTTCACTGTAGTTACTTGGCATTATTTAATCATTCTCTAATGATCGAATTTTCAAAATACATATAGGGTTAGTGTGCACATAAACTAATCAAATATATTCTGCTTGAACTAATCATTCACTCAGTGATATACTTATCTTATCGCTCTTATACTTCGAGCATTTCTACAGATGAGTAGATTTTATACATTCGAACTTGTTCTATCAACACAAAATATGGAACAATAGTTAATGACGTCGTTGTGATCAATGAAAGGTGATTCTAGCATCTTTCAACTGAAGATTATTAATAACCAACTCAACTAAAAACACCACAATTTTTTCTTACCCATTTTGTATGCGAGAAAGATTAGATTGTCACTAGTTCAATTCCTGGTATGGTTGTTGATATACTATTCTGAGAATTCAAAAACTGTTACGATATATTTGACCAGTATTTCATGTTTTCCACAGATTTTCTAGCTGATATCAATCCTTTAGGAACTAATTTCTACAAATAACCCAAAATATGAGAAATAATGTAGAATATTACCTCACTTTTTCTGCTATAAAGTATGTTTAATATATTTCTAGACGAGTTAGAAGAAACATTCCAGCAACATACCATTGTAGTGGACATGAACACCAGTGGGAACAATCGAATGTATTTAACACAAAACTACAGGACTTGTTAATAAAATCTAACAATTATAAAGTGAATGCTTAATTCGCAAAATGTCCACCAATTGTCTCAAAATGACTCAGACTTCATTGTTCTTGCATTTTCATACAAAGTGCATTCTGTTTCCATTCTTTACTGTTCGATCCTCTTTTCTCTCTGCTGTCAGACCTTCTGTTCACGACTAACATCAAATACCACTTATGTTAATATAAGTAGCACACACCACACTATGACGAGATTAAATACATTTTTGCTTTAATCCTATGTAAATGTTACTAGTTCTATACGAATATCACTCCTTCGCTATTTTCTCCAAAACGTATTTTGTGATATAAATAATCAATGCATTGATCATAGTATCCTTTAAAACATATAAATACAGTCCAAGCCTACTATCGGTTTTGACTTTGGAGAATCTCAATAGTTTTTAAGTCGTTCGTTTATTGATAATTACGAACTATTGATCCTTTGTCCATTATTAGTTAGACGATGTTTAACAGTAATGATATACATGGTGGAGAACATAGTGAGAACATTTCAAAGCTATTGTAAATTAACAACAGGTAAACGACTTCGAACTTTTTATGTCTTACCTTAGCTACTATAAAGTTATCAAAATGGGGATTTGTGATTGTAGTAATTTTGATAGTTAAATTCATGAATCTATATAAGCTAGACCATCATTGGGAACCTGGAAGCACTGGAAGGCCGTTTCGTCTTAGTGTAGGACTCCCCATTAGTACGTATCCACGATCCCTCACGCGGAACTCCAATTCAAGATCTGTCTCACACACCAACGCTTAACCCCAAGACCACTGATCTGCCATCCAACAGAGCTAATGTCTAATTTCAATTAATCCTTGATCTTGTGCAACCCTTCATCCACTGTCTGAAGTGGATAAAGGTCTCATCCGACACAGACTGAACTCCACTTGTCATGGCGTTTCACCAAAAATCCAGGAAATTTATCTTGAAGCTAGTCACTAGTGAGCACATGATGATTATTGTTACTATGAGAGTTTGTGGAGATTGTAGTAATTTTAATAGTTGCACACTGCTGAGAAGTCCTATACTAGGACGAAATGTCCGTCAAGTGCTTCCAGGTTTCCAATGACGGTCTAGCTTATATTGACCCATGAATTCAACTATCAAAACCACAACTCCTCAATCTGCTTAGAAAGGTAACTTATGAAGTTTTAGTGGGAAGTTGTGGTTAATGGAGCACAACTACATTGGGTGTAAAATGATTAATCATAAAGAGCTATAAATGATGGTTCCGAATAATGGTGAATCGAGTGAAACTAAAAATGTAAATCATTGAGTGCAATCTCACTGGTCTGAATGCTCAACACTCATAGCGTCATCTGAAGATCTTGTGGGAAGGTTTTGAATAGACACTATCAAAAAGTCCTATACCAGGATAAAACAACTG